ATACTGAAGCGGGAGGATTGGTTGAGCCCAGGAGTTCAAGACCAGCTTGGGCAACATAAAGAGACCCTGTCTCTACAAAAAAAATTTTTTTTAATTAGCTGGCCTTAGTGGTGTGTACCAGTAGTTCCAGCTATGGGAGGCTGAGGCAGGAGGATTGCTTGAGCCCAAGAGGTCAAAAATACAATGAGCTATGATTGTACCACTGCACTATAGCCTGGGTCACAGAACATGACCCTGTCTCAAGTAGATAGATGGATAGATGGGATAGATAGGTAAGTTCAATGAGATAAGTTGATAGATGGATGATAAGAGAAGAAAACAAAGTTTTGTGTAAAACATTGAATGTTTAAAATCTTCTAATGTTGATATACTAAATAGGAAATTATTACTTGAATGATAATTTTAGTAATGGATAGATTTTTATAGATATTTAAAAGTGAATATTAGTAGGTGAGAATGTTATTACCATACAAATAATTGAGTCATTCTTTGACTAAAGGTTCTGAGATAATTTGTATGTATTAACTTTCAAAGGAAATTTCTCCAAGTAATTGTGGAAAGATGTAAGTAAATCCAATGTAGGAGGTGTGACTATATAGGAAGTTCAGAAACTGTTAGGGGTAAATCTAGAGTTGATTTTAGGCATAGAAAGTTAATTGCACTAGTGTGGAATAGGGTGACTTGACTTGACAATAGTTGCCAGCTGAAGAATTTATCTGGAATTCATCACATAAAGAGAAACTATGGAAAGTATTGATGAGGTTTAAAAATATGAGGGAAATACTTAGAAAATTCAATATGCATCTGATTGGAAACCCAGAAAAATAAGAAGAAGAAAGAATGTTGGAGAAGCAACATTTTAAGAAATAGTGGCTGAGAATTTTCTGTAATTGATGAAACATAAATCTACAGCTACAAAAAGCGTAATGCATTGCTGATAGAATATTAGAGTGAAACTGCAAAACATCAGAGACACAGAGAAAATACTAGAAACCTCTAGATTTAGACAGGCAAATCCCCATGCAAAGAAGCAACAGCATGACATCAGTGACAAACAATTAAAGCTAAAAGAAGTGAAATAATATTTTCAAAGTACCGAGATAAATCTGTCAACCTAAAGTATGCACCAAAGTCTGGCTTTCAAGAATAAGAATAAAATAAAGACTTTTTCAAATAAAATTGAGAGTGTTTACTACCAACAGATCTACACTAAATAGAGAATGCTTAGAAGATATACATCAGAAAGATGGGAAAAGACCTCAGAAGGAGGGTCAGAAATGTGAGTGGCAGAGGAGAAATTTTTATTAGGTTGGAAAATCTGTCTTGTTACAGCCTTTGAAGTTATCAAAAATGTGGCATTGTATCATGAGGAAGTGAAATGTAGTATGAAGTGTCATCCAAATTGCTTTGGATTCCCCAGAACCCATTCCATCACTTTTTCATTTTGTATCAGAATTGTGATTTGGGGAATTGATCCCGCTTTCATGGCTGGACCTTGATTAGTAGAATTCAGTTATAATCCATTTTCCTTGCTAATTCATTTGATTCAGAAACCAGGCCTAAGCCATTTATCCCATGGCTATTACTTTGATAACAGAGAACTCGTTATCAAGGTAATAGCCAGTTACCCATGACTATTACCTTAATAGCCATATTCTCTGTTATCAAGGTAATAGCCAATGCTTTCCTTCAGAATTCTGAGGGAAAGAATTCTTGTTTGTGCTTAGGGGAAAGATACATTGAGGAGACCCAGATTACTTCTTACTATGGTAAGAAATAAGCCTTAATGTCAAGTCAACATTATGAATAGCAGAGCTGTGAGAAATAAAAACAAAAGAGTTAATAATTTGGTCTTTAATGATGTCACCGTTACTAAGTCACTTACTCCTGAAGTTCACCCTATTTATAGACTTCATGTTACGTGAAATAATAGTTTAAATTTGTATTGCTTAGGCGATTATGGTTTCCTAGTTGAAGCTCCATTCTTCTCTTCAAAAACAAATTAGACTTTACTAATACAAATATAATTTCAATTCTGAGTCAGGGAAGGTGGAAGCTGTATGCCTTATGCTGCTCTGACAAGATAGATTAATTTGGAGTATCATGTTTCATTGAAGCACATTGGCAGATGAGTATGACAGAGTGATGAGGAAAGGGCTAGCACATAAAAGAAGTATTAGATTTGTTTCGCATGATTCCAGAGGTCAGAACTAGTCCCGATCAGTAGAAATTCTAGAGAGGTTAAGAAAGACGCGATCAGCATAAGAAAGAATTTTCTCATAATTAGAACTGTCTGGAAATGGGATGAAAGGGTGCACCAGTAGAGAGCTAAAATTTTGCCCCCAAGAATCTTCTAATAGAGGGCTTTCATAGCTATACAAATATTAAGGAAAATTGTTCTGCATGGGGTAAGAGGTTGGATTATATAACTTACACAGGCTCCTAACCATTTTGGAACTCTAGTTACTAATCCATTCTAGTTACTAATAATGGTTCTCAACCCTCTTAGCCTTGACGCTTCCTTTTTATTCATACTCTTTGTAATGCCTGCTTACTATCTAACATTCGTGATGAACATAATCTCTCCACACATGATATTCAGGAAATGTGCATTTAAGAGTGGAAATGAAAGTGACAAACATCTAAAATCATGTATTGCATTCCTGAAGTTGAAGAAACTTCAAACCAAACATTTTTCCTAAGTTAGGCACAGACATTTGGAAGCAAAACCTGATCTTAATTGAAATAACTTTAATTACAGTTTTTATACAAGTGGCGGACTTCTATGTTTTTCTGCAAAAATGTTAGTATGTTTAGTCACAGCTACTGTTCCAGACTCTGCTGGCAGTACTACTTAACGCGCTTTGAAATGCAAAAAAAAACAAAGACAAGACAAGACAAGACAAAAATCTAAACTCTTTAAATATCTGATCCCAAGGGTTTTGGCTAGCACACTGTGGTTCTTTAAGTATTTCAACACTTAGAAGTTCCAGGATGACTAATTCAAAACATATAGTAAAGTAATCAATCGGTTATACTTTTAATTAATATGTTTGAATTTAAGAGAAGGTGAGAAGCCATTCTGTTCAAGAATTAGAGCAAGGTCGAATAGTAGACTGTGCTACAATACATGGGACAAGTTATACCATACCCTATTTATTTGAATATAAGAAAAAAGGGGAAATAACTTTATTTGATAAATCGAATAACATACCTAAACAAGTTATATTGTTGAAGTGGAGAAAAATGAGAAAATATTTTTTAAATGAGCTAGACCTTCTTAATAAATGTTACCAAAATAATTTTCTATATTATGATTTGAGGTAAGAACTTGAAATTCCATCACCTGTTTAAACCTGCATTTAATCTCTAGTACCTAATAACAGAAGTTATATGATCTCTGGGAGTAGCATCAGAGTCATATTGAAAAATACATTGACAATTCAAAAAGTATAATTTTAATATTTAGGGTAAATAGGAAATATTTCCACACATCACTATTAATGAAATTTATTGATCCATTTCTGGCTCAAATCTGATAAAATAATGTGGCAAATTTACAGATTTATTATGCAGTACCAGCACTACTGCTCTGACACCCTTTTTAACCAGATTTGCAGTTGGATCTTATGTACGTTTAAGTGGACGGAAAGCAGAGCATGTTATTTAATAATTTGGTGACAACCTCCTATTACATATTTTTAGTATAGTTATTTAGTAATTTATATTCTTAGTGGGTTTAATCCATAGAACATTCAAAAGTTGTATGGGATGCAGGATAGTTCTTCACTGATGTTCCACAGAATCTGTTTTAAGGCTAAAAATAAATTGTATTTTTTCTTTTTGTCTTCTGTACAAGTAGAGGGCTTTCTATTTTCTTGACTCTGTACCATTTTTGTCATGGCAGGTTTTACTCTCATATAACTTGTAAATTATCGTCATCAGCCTCTGTTGTCTTACCAGCAATTAAATATGAATTTTGCTAGTAATATTTACAATATGACTTCATGCCCAATATGTAGAATTTAGGGGCGGTTACATACTAGAGTTCTTTAAGAAGAAAATGCCAAAGAGAAATTAATTTGTGTTTTAAGCAGCCAAATTTTATGACTGGTAGTGCTCAGAAAGAAATTTGAACACTTCATATCCTTGTGTGTAAGTGTCTTGCATAGTATTTACAATGTTAGTAAAAGTGAGACTTTTACTGCAATGGAAGGTAACAATTGGATAACACTGGTTACTTTATTTTCTCACCACCTAGTAAAATATGATTTGAAGTTCTTATGTAATAGGACATTTAATTGACTTTTATAATCTGAATTAATTTTGTCCTTTTTTTGTGTGTAAGCTGCTTTTATACCTGGAATAAAATGTAAAACCAGTTTTTTAGCTGCAGTAGTGAGGACTAATTTACTGACTGTTTTAGGTACCATTTGGTTTCATCAAAATGGGTAAAACATCTTTTTGTAAACCTTTATAGTACTGTTAAATGAGTTTGGATTTATCCTTAGGTGTCCAGGAAGATGGTTATTATGACATATATTGAATATGTGACAGTCCCTAGATCAGTTGCTTTTAGAAGTCTGCGGTGAATGCTTTAGTCCTTTTTTTTTCATTTTAAAATATAGTCACTTACAAATCCTTCCATTGTATTTGATTCATTTTAAACTGTCTTTTCCCCGGTGATTTTCACATGGAAACTTAATATGTAGCTGAATGTCACAAACTTGTTGAAGTATTAGATTTGCACTGTATATTTTTACGTTTTAGCTATTTTTTAATATTTAGTTTTTGTTCTTTTGTAAAATAGATGTCTTTTCATTGTGGTGCTAAACTAGAACTTGTCACTTTCTCTACTTAGTGGATAAATGACTATTTACAAAACTGATTCTTTGATGAAACAAAGATGAATGAAATGAAAATGTTCTGTATTACAATAAACTACCTCATATAATTTTTTAAAAGATAGTAACCTGAATGTATGTGTATACTTTTTTTAGAAAGAATCTTCAAGAGGGAGACATAGGGAAAAGGAAGACATAAAAATCACTAAGGAGAGAACTCCAGAAAGTGAAGAAGAAAATGTAGAATGGGAAACTAATAGAGATGGTGAGTTTCAGAATCTTGATTTAAAGAGCAAATTCTGGATTATTTACTTTGTAGAGTTTTTGTGAACTTCAAAACAACTTTCAGCTATGATCTCCCTCATTTCAGAATCATTTTATTGACATGTTTCTATCTTACTCTGTTATAACGCAAAAACTGGCATATAGTAGCTGTGCAAAGGCAGAGAAAGTGGTTCGCATTGCGTATTTTAATTTCCCCTCTACAATTTTATTGTGTAGCAGCATTACAGTCCTTCAGGATTGTATTACATATGTAAATTAAAAAATTCCTAGCATTAAGCTTAAAATGAAATCTAACTTTGTTTTACATAATATATTATAAATGAGATTTTTATATCTTAAGGACCAGGGAAAGTTATTTCCAAGAAATGTTTGACTTTAAAATCAGATGAAGATCAAGACCTGGATTTATTAAAGAAAAATTAGCAAAAAAAATTTTTTTTCTTGAGACACAGTCTCTTTCTGTCATCCAGGCTGGAGGACAGTGGTACAATCATGGCTCACTGCATCCCAGCCTCTTGGACTCAAGCAATCCTCCTGTGTGTAATCTCAGCACTTTGGGAGGCCAAGGCTGGAGTATGACTTTAGCCCAGGAGTTTGAGACCAGCCTGGGCAACAAAGAAAGACCCCATCTCTACAAAAAAACAAAAAAATTCGCTGGACACGGTGGTGCATGCCTGTGATCCCAGCTACTTGAGAAGCTGAGGTGGGAGCAAAATCATTTTTGAGTCATTGTCTTAACAAATAAGCATTTATTTTCCACACTGTGAATGTTTTCTTCACCTCTTTGATGTTCTGAAAGATGGGCACCATAAAGTTGAGCGGGGGTAGAAAATATAAAGTAATTTATGTAATTTTGTAATTATTTTAATAGCTTTGTTACTCTACAGATGACAAAACTAAAGAGTTTAAGAATTTAAACAACTTTCTCAGTGAGAAGCTGAAAACTTTAGACCCTGGATTAGAAAACCAGAGTGTGTAGACCAGTCACTGGTTTTTGCAAATAAAGTTTTATTGGAACACAGTCCATCCATTTGATTACATATTGTCTGTGGCTGCTTTTGAGTGACAGTGGCCAAGTCGAGGCCTCAGGACAGAGAACTGAGAAGCTACAAGACTAAAATATTAACTAGTATATTTCAGAATTATTTCTGAAGACTTGTAGACCAACACTTGCAAAGTACTGTGAATGCATCTTTCCAGTAATTGTTACATCAGCACTTAAAGGAAACCTGTTTCTTCTTTGGACAGTGCTGTCTGTTAAAAAGCTGCTTCTGAGGACAAATAGGAAACTTGGTTTTGGTTACTCAGGATTTCATAATCCAACCTAATGCAGTTTCTACAAAATAGCAATAAAGGCAGCTATACTGTCCCATTTTAGTTGACTAGTTAGTGTATTTAAATAAAATATAAAGATATTTATATTTATAAATATAGGCATATAAACTATATGCCTAAACTTTTTTACTTTCCTTTTATTCTGTGTAAGAGACCTGTTTCCTGCTGTGCAAGGTTAGTGAGTAATTCCTTTGTATTGTAGCTCTGATATATAAATTGTTCAAGTTTAAAGAGCTAACTTTTCCTAAGTACTAAGGAATTACCTCTTAACACATCCAGCATCCTTTCTTTTCATTTTATTTTTTTTGCATAAAAAACATTTAAAAATGTATTTGATACTTCCTATCTTTTTTTCTATTGTCATTACAATAATATTTAATAATTGTTGAAAATATAAGAGGTTCCGAAGAGCCTAAGTCTGTTCTCTCTTTTTCTTCGTAGTAGGTATGCTAAACCTTCTCCATAAATCTCCTATTCTTCCATTTCTCTTTTATGCTATCTACTAAGCAGAGATGATGGAAGTCTTTAGGAGCTCCCTCAGCTTCCTCCTACCACACCTTCAAACTAATCTTTTATTCATACCTAAACTTTTTTACTTCCCTCTTACTCTGTACAAGAGGCCTCTTTTCAGCCCCTATAAGGTTAATGAATAATTCACTTCTGTTGTAGATCTGATTTCCTCCTACCTCAGCAATGTTGTTCATTTATTATACACTCTCTTCTATATCTTTAACATCCATTTTCTGTTCTCCCCGTATTACTGTTAGTCACTGTTCTGCTTATCCCCACTTAACAACTAAATTCTTAAAACAGTTCTGTACCTTACTGTTTCTACTTGTTTACCTGATACTTATTATTCAGTCTTCTGATCCAGCTCTCCACTAAAACTGCTTTTCAAAGTCACTAATGACCTCCTCTTTGCTTAATAAATGAATGTACTTGTTTCTGTCTTAAACGACCATTCTGCAGCATTTGACATATCAAGAGCTCCTGTCTTGTTGAAGAAAAACTTCTCTTTTGGTTTCTATTTGTCACTCTTCAGTTTTGTGTCTTCCTGTTCAAGTCCTTCAGTTTTTTTTTTTTTTTGAGACAGAGTCTTCCTCTGTCACCCAGGCTGGAGTGCAGTGGTGCGATCTCGACTCACTGCAACTGCTGCTTCCTGGGTTCAGGTGATTCTCCTGCCTCAGCCTGTTGAGTAGCTGGGACTATGTGCGCATGCCACCATGCCTGGCTAATTTTTTGTATTTTTAGTAGAGACGGGGTTTCACCATGCTAGCCAGGGTGATCTTGAACTCCTGACCTTGTGATCTGTTCTCCTCGGCCTCCCAAAGTGCTGGGATTACATTTGTGAGCCACTGTACCTGGCCAAGCCCTTCAGTCTTACATAGGAGGCTCCTTATATTCTGTCTGCCCCTTAAATGTTGATTCCCAAGGATTTGCACTTAACTATGATCTTTTAAAAAATCTAAAGTGATTTTGTGTCAAGAGCCTTTTATATAGGAAATTATTTTACAAGGTGAATGTAAATGTCTTTAGTAGGAATTTCTTATGTTTTCCCTTGATTGAAACACATAGGTTTTGACCATCGTGTATCTCTGTGATTTGAAAGTATCTGTTGAGGGAATACTGAAGTGTTAAGTTAGGTGCTCTAGTCCCTGGGTAGTGAGACTAAACTGATTTCATAGACTTACCTTCTGCATTGTCATTCTAAAGCAAGTAACAATCTTAGCTGGGTTCAGAAAAAAATGGTATATAATAGTGTGTCTCAGACTTTCTGGTTTCAGGACACTTTTCTATGCTTTTTCAGAACCCCAAATAACTTTTGTCTTTGTGGATTTTAGGTTTCCATAATTGCTATATTGTGAACCTGGGAAAATTTAAAATATGTATTTATTCATTCACTTTACAATGACATCTAAATATCCAGTATATGCTTTTATGAAAAATAACTATTTTGCAAAGCAAAAAATAATAATAATTGTGAGGAGGTGGCAGTGTTTTGCATCATTTTGCAAATTGTTTTAACATCTGGCTTAATAGTTGATAGCTAGATTTTCTTATCTGCTTCTGCATTCTGTCTGTTAACTACATCACATGTTCTGGAAAACTCCATTATCTACTCATGGGAGAATGAGTACACCAGACAAATAATGTAGTGTTATAGAAATAGTTTGATTTTGTAGAACTCCTGAAATTGTCTCAGTGACTTTCCAGGTAACCTGAGACCACTCTTTGAGAAGCGCTTGTCTCTAGGAACAGCTTTTAAAACTTGTTTTCCTTTTGTCTAGCCATCTTCTTTTCCCACTTTTAATTTTTCCTTCTAGATGAAATCATGCTCCTGGGGCTTGTGTTAGTGACTCCAAAATATGGAGCTCTCAGTTTAGCATTGACCAACTAGAAATCTCCATATGAGTTCTGTATCTTAAGGTCATCACTTTTCCTATCAGACACCAATCGTCCTGAGAGTCATCTAACACTCCTTTCCCTCCACACAGGCATTTACAGAGTTCTGATATTTTTATGTGCCAAATACATTGAAAGCCATCTGTTTCTCTTAATTTACTACTAATATTCTAGTTCTTAAGGTATTTGTTTTTGCCTATAAAAATATTTTACCAAAATAACCTCCTAACCCCATCTCTTGCTTATAGTCTTATCTCCTAATTTATTCTCCACTGTAAAACACGAATAATCTTTCTTAAAAAATTTTTTTTTTTTTACTGAAATACATGTTCAGAGGAATGCACAGTTCATGTGTACAACTCAGTGGATTTTCACAAACTGAACACATGTAGAAACATCACCCAAATCAGTAAGTAGCAACTTAGCAGTTTCCTGTAGTCCCCTTGTGTTTCCTTCTAGTCACTCCTCCCTACCCTCACCTCCCAAAGGTAACTACTGTCCTGATTTCTAGCATCATTGATTAGTTTTGTCTGTTTGAGCTCCATATAAATGGAATTGACAGCATGTACTCTTTTTGTACGTAGCTTCTTTTGTTAACAGTATTATCTGAGATTCAGTCTTGTACTTTATTTCATATATCTTTCATTAATTCCTGTTGCTATATAGTGTTTTATTGTATGAATATGTGATAATTTATCTAGTCTACTGTTGATGAACATTTGAGTAATTTCCAGTTTGGTGTTATTATGCCTAATAAGTTACGGTTACTATTCTTAAACATATTTTTTGGTAAACATGTACAAACATAATGGGTATTCCTCTTGAGTTCATGGTTCAAAGTGGAATTGCTGGGCCATGGAGTATGTATGTGTTCCTCTTTAGTAAATAATTTCAAATAGAAAATAGTGTACCAATTACCCATATGGTATTTTTGCCTTTTTCATCCTAGCTATTCTGAAATTTTGTAGTGGTATCTTACTGTGGTTTTAGTTTGCATTTTCCTAATGAAGTTGAAAACTTTTTTACATGTTCACTTACCATTGTACACCCTATTTTGTAAACTCTCTATTCTAAATGTTTGCCATTCTTCTATTGTGTTACCTTTTTTTTTTCTTGTTACTTAGATGAATTCTTTATGCTTTCTGGATATGAGATTTTTTTTATCAGATATATAAATATATTCCACATATTTTCTCACACTATGAGTTGCAGAGCAGTCTTTTAAAAGAATAAGTTGAATGTTCATTTTATTTCCCTGTTTCAAATTCCCTAATTTCCGATTGTCTTTAGCAGCAAGTACAAATTTTAACTATGCCTATAAAACTTTTGAGTATCTGGTTGTTCTCTGTATTTCCAGTCCCCACTCCAAAGTCTGTGGTTTTATTTGGTTCCTTAAACTTCTTGTATTTGTTCACCATATGTTCTTAAGGACCAGTGAAGTACCATAAAAAACCAAAGTATCATTTCAGTAGAATGTGTGAAAATATTTTAGTTATCTTGGAGGTGAGTACATCTTCCTTAAATAGGGCATAAAACCCAGAAGCCACAAACATTTGATTACATGAAACTGGGAATTTCTGTGTAACTAAATGCAGAAGTTAAAGACAGATGATAGGCTAAAAGAAAGTATTTAACAGGTGTAACATCTGTAAGCATTAGTAAAGACACTATATAGCCGTATAATGAGTTTCTACAAATACATAAGAAAAAGACAGCCTAGTTAAAAAATGAGTAAAAATATATATGTATTGGATAGGTACCTCACAGGAGAAATAGAAATGGTCATTAAATGCTCAACTTTACTTCAGGGAAACACTGATGAAAATAAAGAGATAGGATTATTCTACTCATCAGTTTGGTAGAAATGAAGAATACTAATATTTCCAAGTGGGACTTTATGTTGGTAAAGCAGCTTTGGAGTACAGTTTAGTGATATTAAAAATAAAATTGTATTTATTTTCAGTCCAGCAATGTAGTCTGAGAAATAATGTCATAGAAAAATACTTGTACTTGAACCAAAGTAGATATGAAAATGTTCATTTAAGTCTTTTTGACAGCAGAATATTGAAAACAGTCTGTCTGTCAGAAGGAAACTCCTTCAACTAAGCTATGATTAAGTATGATCCTATTAATGAAATGCCTTGCAGATGTTAAAATAAGGATAGTTGAATTATATCTATGACTTGAAAGATCTTGTTTATAAGGCAGTGTTGAATGGTAAAGGGAAAAATATAAAGCGTTATTTTCATACACATGATACTAAACTATTTCTAAATTTATTAACTGGCTTTAGACTCTTGTTTTTGAATTCCATCCTGTATTATGATTTTTCTTTTGTTGTCAAAATACTGTCAGTTGCAATGTGTGCCTGTCTTGTAATCCATCTCTTACAGGTTAGGAAAACATCTGAGTTTTGATTATATGCGTAAAATAAGTATCTTCAGAATAAAGACTTGAGAACTTTTTTCCTGAGCAAACTATATGAGTTGTATATACTACATTGACTTAGACATATATTTTAACTGCTCAGGCCTCTCGCCCTTGGTTGGATAGTTGAAGATTGAGGACTGAAAGCCAGTTTCCTCTTTCTTTTTTTTAAGAAATGGGGTTTCTCCGTGTTGGTCAGGCTGGTCTTGAACTCCCGACCTCAGGTGATCCACCCTCAGCCTCCCAAAGTGCTGAGATTACAGGCATGACCCACCTCGCCCGACCGGTTTCTTCTTTCTTTTATGTGTTCTGTATTGGTAATATTTCCAGTTACGAATTTTTAGATTGGCAGTGCATTATTGATAATACAGTACCCTCAGAAACACCATTAATCCTTCTTCTCAATTAATTACTCTTTCCTGTGTTTTACCTGGGTATTTGTATATGGAATTTGATTGAATTTAAGAACATAAACCAGATAATTGAGTTCTATTATTCATTGATGTAAAGTCTCTCAGTAGAGTACAAAATAATAACTGGAGATAGCTGGTATTCACTTAATTAAATTCAGTATCTTCATTTTATCTGGTGAAAGCCACATGCTCTTAGTTAAATATTTAGTGGTTACTTTCTGACTGAAAATCATGATTTAGCCAATTTCATTTATTTACTGAAAAATTATCATTATACTCCATCATAAGAGGAGTAATGAAACTTAGTCACACAGGTAGCGAGTATATATAGTTAGCCTCTCTGTCCCCAGTGTGGATGGATAGTTGTCATTTTAATGCGTTTGAGCGAGAGATAACAGTGATGTTCATCTTCTTGGGCTTTAGGCAGTCGAGTAGGACTTCTTACATTTATTGTTCTTTAGTTCTTCATCTTATTTCTTTACCCAAGTTTAAGAAATGATCTAAAGTGCTAGAAGCATAGCTTGAGAAGGCACCTCAGTGTGTGATCAGTCAAGTCCCACATGGTCAGTGAAACTCCTTCCTCTAGGCTTCTGGGCATTCATGGCAAATGAGGGTGATGGGGTTGTGGGCCAGTGCCGGTAACTTCTACATATTTTGATTAAATAGATCTGCAACTACTCTTCCTTTTTGTTTTTAAACCAACCTTCGTAACTTTTTATCAGAAAATATTAAATGAAAATAGAAACACGGCGTCAAATCCATTGAGAAGGACACTTGTAATCTAAGGAAATAGTTCAAATTGCTTGTAAAGAAAATGTTATGAGCCCTTTAAAAATTAGCACATGTTCACATTAGTATTAAAATTAGTTTTAGATGTTAATCAGTTGTCTCACAAATTTTAAAACTGACAGGCATATAGATTGAATGTTGCACACGTAATATAACCTCACTTTATATGATGTATTTTAGTAATGTGTCTTTAGGAAAATCAAGGAGGTAATGAGTTACGTCATATGCAGCGTAAAATATTGAAGACTTTGGTACCTTTAAGTCTGAGAAATTCAGCTGAGTGTCTTTTGTCTTTTAAAATTCCATCTCCTAACAAAAAAACCCAACCCCTAGACAACTCTAAATCATTTCCAGAAAACCCAGAAACCTTAAAAATATTTGACTCTTCATAAAGAAATGAACCATTGTGACTTTAACCCTTTATAGACATGGTATCTATTTCTTTTATCTCTTAAAAGTATGTCATTCTGATGAAAGACTCTGCCATTTAGATTTGTATAAGAAATTTGTTAAAAACGTCTCTGTAATTTTTGGCATAGATTATGCTAGTTTCTAACAGTAATACAATTTTATTTTAAAGATTCTGACAATGGAGATATTAATTATGATTATGTTCATGAATTGTCATTGGAAATGAAACGTCAGAAGATACAGAGGGAATTAATGAAGCTGGAGCAAGAAAACATGGAGAAGAGAGAAGAGATTATCATTAAAAAGGAGGTATGATCTTTATTGCAATAAATAGGTTAATAGCAACATTTGTATTGATCGGTAACTCAGCTTTCTGCTACATCTTAACTTATACTAGCATACTGACCCATTGATCAACTCAGTGTATATGTGCTACTCCCTATATATTCATCATTTAATTGTCACATTATTCTATTAGGTAATTAGCAAAAATTTATGTTATTGAATAGGTGAACAAAGCTGAGAGTTTGTTGCCTAGAGTCACCAGCTAATGTAACATGGGGTTTGAATCTACATGTCTGTTTCAGGCCCATGCTATTTCTAGAATGCCTTGTTTCTTTTCCAAAAAGTGAAAACCAGTTAATTTAAATGTAATTTATGATTTTTCTGAGGAGATTTTGAAATTTTATGATTTTAATTTACTTTATTGAAACTGGTATATATTAGGACAGTTTTATCACTTAAAATAATAGATCCAGGAGTCAGACTAATAAATATTAACAGATAGTGGCTATTAAAATTTAAAATATTTATTTTTATTTCAAACTTTTTTTTTAGGGATGAGGTCTTAGCCACAGGCATATTCCACCATGCCCGGCTTTTTTTTTTTTTTTTTTTTTTAAAGAGATAGGGTTTTTCAGTGTTACTCAGGCTGGCCTTAAACTCCTCACCTCAAGCAATCCTTTCACCTAAGCCTCCCGAGAAACTGAGATTATGGGTACGAACCACTGCATCCAGCAATAATACTTAATTTTAATCAGAAGTTTGGTGTGATTCTAAAATACTGTAAGCCTTGTTGTACCATAAGTGGAGGAATTTCTGAATTGACTTACTGAATTTTTTTAAAGGTTTCACCAGAAGTGGTTAGATCAAAATTGTCCCCATCACCTTCTCTAAGAAAGTCTAGCAAATCTCCAAAGCGGAAGTCAAGCCCGAAGTCATCTTCAGCCAGCAAGAAAGACAGGAAGACATCTGCAGTACCTTCTCCCCTGTTGGACCAGCAGAGGTCAGTAGGGTGATAAGTAGCATCAGAAGAAAATAGCTTTTTCTGAAGTGATACTAAAAGGAATTATTTCATAGGTTACAGAAGGGTACTTATAATCCATTTTATATTTAATGTAAGCTTTTTTGTTCTAAAAAGTCTGAAATGTTTCCATTAAAAAGACAATTATAGAGATCAATAAAACAAACATTTGTGACACATCTACATATGCTTCAGAGCCTTTTATTTAAGAAATAAAAATAAAAGCTACATTTTCTGTTCCTCTATTAAGTGTGGTCTTTATGATACTTGTGTGTGTGTTTATACTTTCACTAATATGTGTTTTGCAATGTATAGTATTGCTGTGATCTGTTTCATTGTAATACAGATGCATCCTAACTTTGCTTCTGCACCTTGCTTTTTCACTTAACATGTTTTACATTTCTCTACATTGTTACAGATAACCTTAGTTCATGCATCTCAGTATTTATATTATAAATTTATCTACTTTTCTGTTGAACATTTACTTTTCCAATTTTTAAACTACTATGAATTATACAAAATAATTCTTGCCTCTGTACATATTATCAAGAGATTAAATTCTTTATAGTATATACCTACCAGCAGGAATATATTATTTAGAATTACTGTAGAAGCCAGTGAAAGAAGTAAAAATAGGAATGATTTCATTTAGGGACTGAGAATAAGAAGAAGATACATTTTCATTTAATGTCACTCTGAACTATTTACATTTTATTTTAATTAAAGTTCATATCCTAATTTTATTTTATAAAAAATAAACTAAAAATCTCTTCTTTCTAATATTTAATCATTTGACAAGCCCTATCTCTTTGAACCTGTAATGAAACTCATATTTACCTCCCTTCTAGTTTCTAGAGGCTAACCCTGTTTCAGACTCTGCGTACTTTGCCTGGGTTGTTCTGTCATCCTGCTAACTGTACTTAACTTTATGTAGTGTCTGCTTCCCCCCCTACACACATGTAAACATTTTCATTCAGCTGCCTCAAGCCATTTATTTTCTAGACACTGCCAGAGAAATCTTAAAAGGACAATTTCAATTAATTTATTATACCATTGAAAAACTCAGTGCTTTTTTGTGCAGTAGAATGAAATTTAGGTGCCTTAGAATGACATTGACACTTTGGTCTTTTCTTCCCTGTCGGTAGTTTTTGTCTTAACTTCCTCCTGCCTGCCCCCTTCTACCCTCAATTCTTTAATCTCTAGCTCAAATTCTAAGTGTTCCTGTTTCTCTCTACTGAACATAAGTTCTGTTCCCTTTATGTACCTATCAGATTTTGCTTACACCTCCCTGTTGATACTAATTTCCTGTTACAGTATATTTCAGCTGTGACATGTGTCTTACAACCTCTATTAAATTTAAGCTCCTTGAAGATTGGGATCTTGATGGTTCATAGTTCTGTCTTCTCATAGTGTCTACTTGGCATAGAACTTTGCATTGTAATAAGGCACTCAGTAAAGTTGAGTTGATCCTCTCCTTTGTTCTTGTGATTGAGTAAATAATGCAAAGGGATATTGAAGAAGTTGAATGAGCAGCGAGTGATAATGATCTACTCTACTTGCTCTTATACTCTTGGCTAACTAATTATATAACTTTCCCTCAGTTTCAGTCGTTCCCCAATAAACTGCATGCTGGAAATACCCTTTCTTCCTTTTCTTGTCTGTTTATAGAATATTTGAAATTTAATCTTCATACAAAGTTCTGATAACTGTTTAAAGGAAGAGTTCGTTTCATCTTTTATGTACAGTTTCTTTTACTGCTTTATTAGTAGCTCATCCTTTTCTAAATATTTGTCATGAATCATCATTCGCACTGGTTTAATTACTGTGTTTCTTGCATTTGACTATGTTGACTTTAAGGTGGACCATTAATTTAATAATAATGAAGGACCTGTGAAAACACTATGTTAAAAATATAAAGAAAACATTGAAGAGTATAGCGTTTTACTTTTTTGAGTATAGCATTTCTTTAGCTCTACAGTTTACATTGCCTAGAGTGTGTCAAGTAATCATCATTTAATTTTATTGCTGGATCATACTATAAACTGAGAACATACTAAGCACATGTAAGGATTAAAATTTCAGTTACAATTTAGTGGAATATTTCAACCATTGTCAACCAACTGAGATGTGACAATCAGGTAAACAAACTTCTTGGTCTTACTAGGTTTTCATATTAAGTGGAAAGATACAATTACTGACAAATTATACTTTTCCCTGAAAGCTGGCATTTTTCTTTGGCATTTATTTTGAGATTTAGTCTGATAGTAAGATTTGTCTTGATATGTGAGATACAGTGTAATCTAAAATATATCACCTATTCTGTCCATCTGCAGTTTTAATCTTAGTTTTTATTAGAGGAATTTTTCTTTGTACGAGAATATTAAGAATGTCAGAAGCTGATCTAAAACAATAGTTTTGAGGAGAGAGAGAAAGGATTAACAACTGATAAAAGTACACAGGTGAGCTCTTTGCCACAAGTAGGAAGTAGGCTCTGTTCCACTGAAACAACAGTTAGGTGACTTTTAAAATGTTGAAGATGTTGATTTCAGAATACCCAGAAACACTTTTGGCCTCTTCACTCGGAAAGGACTCTGTGTTTTCTAACCACATATACTTTTGATGGTAATGTGAGGGAATTCTGCCCTTTAGTAGGTGTATTAGAATAATTTGTGTTGTGATTATAGCTCAGTCCCGAAATGTCAGTGGTTTATAACACAACAGAAGGTTATTTCTCAGGTAAAGTCCAAATGAGTGTTTCTGATTCACAGGTGGTTGTCCCATATATGGAGATGGAGTAACCTAGGCTGCTTCTGACATGATTCCACTTTCTTGGGTTTTCAAGGAAAACAAAGAATGGAATGTACAAAGAAAACTTGAAATTAAGTGTTGCAGTTATTTAGCTCTATAGTTTGTAATTGCCTGGCATATGAGAGTCCTTTGAGATTTGGGCCTGGAAGTGGTATACATCACTTCCACTTACATTCCTTTGGCCAGATCTTGCCCACTTGGCCATGCTTAATTTCAAGAAAGTGTAGATAGTATAGTATGCCATAGTATTGTATGCCACTGTGCTCGGAAGAAAACTTTGGCAAACACTCAGCTAGTCTCTGTTACAGTGATAATGTGAAAATAGTTTGTGTCAATAATTCATTTGTTGTTTAATCATGAAAGTTTAAAAGATAATTTGGAAACAGATGCCAACTATTGATTAGTTTTTATCTTTAAAGTAGAAAAATATCCAGAAATACAGATATTTATCACATATCTGTTAGGTAGATAAGAAGATTGAGTCATCTCATGAATATACAATGAGATGTGGCTAATATATTTAGTTGTTGGCAGAAGACAAGGATGAAAAGTAGATGTAGTCATCATATTTTAATAATTTCTTGCTTGTTCACATGGTTAACTCTATCAATGATAATAAGAAATAGGGATGAGGACTAAGAGAGCTACATTTTCTGAATGCTTACTATGAGTCAAGTGCTTTTAAAATATTGCCAGCAATTTTGAAGTAGATACTATTTATTTTCTTACAGCTAAGAAATCTTGGGACCTGAGAATTCAGCATAATAGGAAATAAGTTCTAGGATTTTGGCTTAGGTCCTCATTTATAAATATCAATACAATAGATAGTGAAATTCATAGGTAGTGAAAACTCTACAGATGTATGAAAAAGGCTACTTGCAAACCCAGTACCAGACTGAACACTAGGAACAGATGACTTACACAGAAACATTAATACAGAAAACAGGAACAAACTTAAATTATAGATTAATTTATAAGTTGAGTCCAATTTGTGCGGATATTGCATTTACAGAATGAAAGCACTTGATCATGGGAAAAAAATCTGAATGACTATATTTTATTGCAGGAGACTGGAGTTTTATTATTAAATCAGTCTCCTCAAGCATTTGGGGATCAGAGCTTTAAAGGACAACTTGGTGGGGGGACGGCAGGGAGACTGGGGGAAGCCAGTGAGCTGGGAGTGCTGATTGGTCAAGTCAGAGATAAAATCATAGGGAGTCAAAGCTGTCTTATTGTGCTGAGTCAGCTCCTGGGTGGGGGCCACAGATCACATGAGCCAGTTTATTCATCTGGATGGTGCCACCTTGAACAACAATATTTTAAAAGAAAAAATAGTTCAAATAGAAAATAACAGAATAGGACAGTTGCAGTGGTCTAAAGTAGGCAGATCTCTTGAGCTCAAGAGCTTGAGACCCATCTGGATGTGGTGAAACCCTGTCTCTGCTAAAATACAAAATTAGCCAGGTATGGTGGCATGCACCTGGATTCCTAGCTACTCTGGGCTGAGGCATGAGAATCACTTGAGCCCTGGAGGTCAAGGCCACAGTGAGCCATGATCATGCCACTGCACTCCAGCCTGGGCAACAGAGTGAGACACCATTAAAAAAAAAAAAAGCAAAACAGTGAGATTGCCAAGCAAAATGTGTACTACTTTAAAATGTTCTGAATATAAAGACAGATTTAAGATCCTGAAAAAGCAGGAAAAACGGAAATGACAGAGAAATCTAAATTGAGTAAAGATCCAAGAGAGACAGTAACTATATAATAAAAAGAACTACAGAGACATGAGTCACAAGGAGAAGTTATAAAATAAAAATAGAAATTGAATAAAAAGTTTGAAGTTTCAGATTAAAACAGTTCATTTAGTGCTGGAAAATATTTTTTAAAAATGCCTGTACTTAGTGGAAATCTTTTTCCAGTGAGTAATTTTCAAGGGATTATGTTCACAAACAGGACAACAGAAAAATTAGCTTACCTGAATAGCAAAAAATTTCATTTTCTTTGGATTTCTTACCTACAATATTAAATGTTACAAAATGTTTTAACTATAGAGCTCTGAGGCTAAAAGGATTTTGACACAAAAATGTTATATTCAGTCAAACTTGTTAAGAGGCCAAGGCAGCCAGTTTTGAATGTATGGGATCAAAGTTTTACTGCTTACTTAAAATTGCTTAAAATGCCAAAAAGAGGCACTTAAAGAACAAAGTCTGTACCCAAAAATCAGTTACAAGTAGATTAAAGACAAATGTGAAAGGCAAAATTACAGAATTTTAGGAGACTGTCTTTGTGACCTCAGAGTTGGGAAAAATTTCTTAAATAAGATTCAAATATTTATGATGAATATATACTGACAATGGTTGGTATTTTATTTGTAGATGATATAATTGTGTTTTTTAAATAGTGATGAAAACCTGGAAGCCACCTGAAAAACTATGAAATTGTTTTAAAAAGTTTTGGAGCATCTATTCAAGGAAGTTTTATACAGTATATAAAAATGATTGCCTAAATCTGCTTTTTTAAAAATTTTATTTTGAGATGGAGTCTTGCTCTGTCACCCAGGCTAAAGTGCAGTGGCGCGATCTCAGCTCACTGCAACCTCTGCCTCCCAGGTTCAAGTGATTCTCCTGCCTCAGCTTCCCGAGTAGCTGAAATTACAGGCACCCACCACCAAGCCTGGCCAATTTTTGTAATTTTAGTACAGGTACGATTTCACCATGTTGGCCAGGCTGGTCTCCTGACCTCAAGTGATCTGCCCACCCTGGCCTCCCAAAGTGCTGGGACTACAGGCATAAGCCACTGTGCCAAGCCTAAATCTACTTGTTACAGAAAGATGTTCACACTATGTCTATGTTGAGTATTTAAAAATTTTACAAAATATTGTAGTAGGACATTCCATGAATGTGTATGACACACACACACACACACACACACAGCCATTTCCAATGATGAGAGAAAATAGTTATGACCATATATGTATATATATATGATTTGCACATATTTTCCCCCATTCCATGAGTTGCCTTTTCACTTTGTTGATTGTGTCCTTTGACATGCAAAAGTTTTAAAATTTGATGTAGTTCCATTTGTCTATTTTTGCTTTGTTACCTGTGCCTTTGGTGTCATAGCCAAGAAATCATGGCCAAATCTAGTATCATGAAGCTTTCTTCTGTATTTTCTTTTGGGATTTTTATAGTTTTTGGTTTTATGTTTAGGTATGTATTTTACGGCTTTTTTGTTGTTCTTTTAATCTGATAAAATACAAAGGTTAAGCTTTTACATGTGACTATCCAGTTTTAAATGAGTAGACAGAGAAAGAGATATGGCAAAAGTATGTAAATATTCAAGATGTTAAAAATAGTTCTCCTTGGGTTGTAGAATTATAGGTGATTTTTTACTTTTTCTACTTTTCTATATGTCTTTAAAAATCCAGTTTAAACAGTCATTGTATTAATATATTTTCTGAAAGTCTCTTTCTATTTTACCTGTATCTTTTCTCAGAAACCTGCCCTTTAATATGATAATAAGCACTGTTAACAAAATAAGTATCAAGTAAATTAATTCTTCACCCATTTCTGTTAGTTTTTTTTTTCTTCTTCTGTATATTGGTTAGTAGTATATAGATTAATAAAAGGTGAGTAGTACAAAGGAACGCTGCTGTTTTTAAGTGCTTTAAAAAATATCCTCTTGGCATATTTGAACCTCTAATGATAGCTTTGTCTTACCTTCAGAAATTCAAAAAGCAACCAAAGTAAAAAGAAAGGACCACGTACTCCTAGTCCACCCCCTCCTGTACCAGAAGATATTGCTCTGGGGAAAAAATACAAAGAAAAATATAAAGTAAAAGACAGGATAGAAGAAAAACCAAGAGATGGAAAAGACAGAGGACGAGATTTTGAAAGACAAAGAGAAAAAAGAGACAAGCCACGGTAAGTAGGATTGTATGTTATTAGCAATATTAACTTTTGTAGAATATAGAATATTTACTTTTCAGAAGCTTTGGGGCATTATTATATTGAGTTTTTAAGTTTTGTTTACAATAGTGTGTATGGTTATTTTAATAATTCCCATAATTATCTATTATGAGTCATGGATAAATTTAGTAAACATTAACTTTTACACTTTATTTTTGAATTTTTTTATTGTGGCAAAAACCATAAAATGTATCATTTTAATCATTTAAAAGTTTACAGTTTAGTAGTGTTAAGTATGTTCATATTGTGAAACAATTCTCCAGAACTTTGTCATTTTGCAAATCAGAAACTCTATATGTATAAAAAAGTATTCCCGGAGAACATCATCCTCAGCAAACTGACACAAGAACAGAAAATGAAACACCGCATATTCTCACTCATAGGTGGGTGATGAAAAATGAGAACACATGGACACAGAAAGGGGAGTACTAAACACTGGGGTCTATTGGGGGGAAAAGGGGAGGGCCAGTGGGATGGGGAGGTGGGGAGGGATAGCCTGGGGAGAAATGCCAAATGTGGGTGAAGGGGAGAAGGAAAGCAAAGCACACTGCCATGTGTGTACCTACGCAACTGTCTTGCATGCTCTGCTCATGTACCCCAAAACCTAAAATCCAATAAAAAATTAAAAAAAAAAAAAAAGAAAGTTAGCTAGGCGTGGTGGCAGTTACCTGTAATCCCAGCTACTCGGGAGGCTGAGGCAGGAGAATCCCAGAGACAGAGGCTGCAGTGAGTCAAGATCATGCCACTGCACTCTAGCCTGGGTGACAGAGCAAGACTAAAAAATAAAAATGTGTTTTAGAGAGATCAGTTTGGTTGTTGTAACAACAGGATGCTATTAAAATAGTCCAAACAGGAAAGTATGTAGGCCTGAATTAGGGCAGGATGGTAGGCATGGAGAAGAAGAGATGGATTTAAGAAATATTGAGATACTTTTGATAAAATTGTTGATTGGGACTTGAGAAGAATTAGCCAGCATTTACCAAGCACTTCCTCCATGCTGGGTATTATGCTAAAGGTTTGCAAATGCAATGCCATTTAATTCTCAAAACTCAACAAGGTAGGTATTTCCCCGCCTTTGTCATTGAGAAAAGTAAGGCAGAGAGAGGTGAAGTAATTTGTCCAGATCACACAGCTGGAGATTGGAAAAACTGGCTCCAGACCTAAACCCCTATCCACTGGGTCAGAGAGACGCCCAGATATCTGTATTACATAGAATCACACCCAACCTGAATTCCATGTTCCTTCATGGAGCTTCTGGTCAATGTTTTTAAACTTCCTTTCTTCTTTCCTTCCTTTCCTTCCCCTCCTTCCCCTTCCTTCCTTCCTTTCTTTCTTCCTTCCTCCTCCTTCTTCTCCTCCTTCTTCTTGTTCTTCCTCTCTCTCTCTCTCTCTCTCTCTCTCTCTCTCCTCCCCCCCCCCCCCCACCCGAATCTTGCTCTGTTGCCCACGTTGGAGTGCAGTGGTTCTATCTTGGCTCATGCAAACTTTGCCTCCCAGGCTCAAACGATTCTCTTGCTTCAGCCTCCTGAGTAGCTGGGATTACAGGCATGGGCCACCACACCCGGGTAATTTTTGTATTTAAAAAAAAAAAAAAAAGTATTCCCTTCCACCTTTCCCCAGGTCCTGGTAACTATCATCCTATTTTGTGTTTCTGTGAATTTGACTGCTTCATATACCTCATACACATGGAATCATACAGTGCTTGTCTTTTTGTGACAGGCTTATTTCACTTAGTGGACTGTCCTCAGGGTTCCTCTTGCTGTAGCATGTGACAAGGCTGAATCACATTACATTGTATGTGCATGCCACATTTTGTTTATCCATTCATCCTTTTGATGGATGTTTGGGTTCTTTCACCTCTTGGCTATTGTTGATAGTGCCAAGGTGAGCTTGAGTGTGTAAATAATCCCTTTGAGACCCTGCTTTCAGTTCTTTTGTGTAGATACCCAGTAGAATTTCTGGACCGTATGATAATTCTATTTTTAAGTTTTTGAAAAGTCTCCATACTGGTTTCCATGGCAGTTGAACTGTTGTACATTCCCACCGACAGTACACAGTGTTCCAGGTTCTCATACTTTCACCAACACTTATTTTCTGTATTTGTTTGTTTTATAGAAGAGGTGTGTTTCTCATTGAGGTGAGGTGTTGTCCCATGAAGGTTTTGATTTGCATTTCTCTGATGAATAGTCATGTTGAGCATCCTTTCATGCGCTTGTGGGCCATTTGTATATTATCTTTGGAAAAATGTCTCTCTAATTCTTTGCCCATTTTTTTAATTGGGTTGTTTGATTTTTTTCTGTTGAGTTCTAGGAGTTTGCTGTATATTCTGGATATTAACCCCTTATCACAGATAAGATTTAAAAACTATGGAATAGTTTTTCCTATTCCATAAGTTGCTTTTTTTTCACCCTGTTAACTGTGTCTTCTTGACATGCAAGAGAATGGTTAACTGGAGCCTTCACAGTTCTTAAATATGTTTTCTTGAAATATACTCTGTATTTTACTCAGTCCAGCAGGTGTATTTGTGAAAATTACATGTAAATATTCTTGCTGATTGACATTATATCAGTAAAGCCTTTAGCTTTCCCTAATGGTTCTTTGTACTTTTATTTTGGTATTTTGACCAGCAAGTCTCTTGAGAGATGGTTCTTAACACATATTCCTAGGTAGTTTATCATTTTAATGGTAAAAACATTTGTATTATGAGGAATTGAATATTACTCAGGCTAATCCTTCATTTTCCAGTTTTTCTCCCTAGGTTATCCCTAAATCGTATGTGTAGAACTCACCGGTTAACTTAATTGTGTAGCTAAATCTGAACTTGGTTGGTTGGTTGGTTGGTTGGTTGGTTTTGGTCTAAGAACATGAAACAGTCCGGGTGCAGTGGCTCAAGCCTGTAATCCCAGCACTTTGGGAGGCTGAGGCAGTCGGATCACCAGGTCAAGAGATCAAGACCATCCTGGCCAACATGGTGAAAACCTGTCTCTACTAAAAATACAAAAATTAGCTGGGCATGGTGGCGTGCGCCTGTAATCCCAGCTACTCAGGAGGCTGAGGCAGGAGAATTTATTGAACCCGGGAGGCAGAGGTTGCAGTGAGCGGAGATTGTGCCACTGCACTCCAGCCTGGCACCTGGCAACAGAGCGAGACTCTGTCTCAAAAAAAAAAAAAAAAAAAAAAAAAAAGAACATGAAACAACAGAGCTAGGAATACAGGAAGATTATATAAATACTTGATCTGCACACACTGGAGTTCTAAAGCCATATGTGACAAGGTTGAAAAAGGACATTTTGCTTTAGGAAGAGGTAATCTAATTACCACAGTTTTTAGGTAGGGCCGTTCTTTTCATTTGTCTCCATTACTCTGAATAAAGAAATTACAGGCACTCCCATTTTATTGTACCTTGCAGATGTTGTGTATTTTTCCAAATGGAAGGTTTGTGGCATCCCTGCATTAAACAAGACTATCAGTGCCATTTTTCCAATAATGTGCTCACTTTGTGTCTCTTTCACATTTTGTAATTCTTGAAATATTTCAGGCTTTTTCATCATTATGATATCTGTTATGGTGGACTGTAACCAGTAACTGTCTACATTACCATTGTAATTGTTTTGGGGCACCATGAACTGCACCCATATAAAACAGTGAACTTAATCTGCAAATGTGTATGTTCTGACTGCTCTACTGAGAGTCAGTCATACTACTAGTCCCCTGTCTATCTGCTTCTCCTTGGGCCTCTCTATGCCCTGAGACACAACAATATTGAAATTAGGCCAACTAATAAGCCTACAGTGGCCTCCAAGTGTTCAAGTAAAAAGGTAGAGTCTCTAAATCAAAAGCTAGAAGTGATTAAGCGTAGTGAGGAAGGCATATGGAAAACAGGTTGTTAATCTAGACCTCTTGTGCCAGTTAGCTAAGTTGTGAATACAAAGGAAAAGTTATTGAAGGAAATTTAAAGTGCTACTCCAATGAACACATGAATGAGAAGAAAGCAAAACAGCCATATTGACGATGTGGGAGAAGTTTGAGTGGTCTGGATAAAAGATCAAAGCGGCCACAATTGAAATCAGCCATAACATTCCTTAAGCCAGAGCCTAATCCAGAGCAAGGTCCTCTCTAATTCTTTTGAGGCCGAATGAGATAAGGAAGCTGGAGGAAAAAAGTTTGAAGTTATCAGAGGTTACTTCATGATGTTTAACTAATAAAGCCATCTCCATAGCATAAAAGTACAAGATGAAGCAGCACATTCTGATGAAGAAGCAGCAGCAAGTTATCCAGAAGATCTAGATAAGAATCGATGTTGGCCACACTAAACAAATTTTCAGCGTAGTTGATACAGCTTATTGGAAGAAGATGGCATCCAAGATGTCCATCGCCACAGAGAAGTGAGTGCTTGGCTTCAAAGCTCCAAAGAACAGGCTGACTCTCATTTGGGGATAATGCAGCTGTGGGTTTAAGGTGAAGCCAGTGCTCATTTACCATTGTGAAAACCCTGGGGTTTTTTGGAATTATGCTAAATCTACTCTGCCTGTGCTCTGTAAGAGGAACAACAGGCATGGTTGGCAGCACATCTGTTTACAGCATGGTTTGCTAAATATTTTAAGCCCACTATTGAGACCTATTGCTCAGGAAAAAAAGATTCCTTACAAAATACTACTGCTTGTTTATGATGTTCCTGTTTACGAAGGAGTTCTGATGAAGATGTACGAAGAGATTAATAGTTTCATGCCTGCTAAGACAAAAGGCACTCTACAGCCCATGGATCAAAGACTTGAGTCTTACTATTTAAAAAATACATTTTATAAGGCCGCAGCTGTGGTGGATAGATTTCTCTGATGGATCTGAGCGAAGTAAATTGAAAACTGTTTGGAAAGGATTTACCATTCACGATGTTGTCAAGAATATTTGTCATTTGTAGGAGGAGGTCAAAATATTAATATTTACAGGAGTTAGAA